TGTTGCTGAAGAATGTAACACTCTTTTTTTTTTTTTTTTTAAATAATCAGACATAAAATCACTTGTAAAAACAACAGAATAAATCATGTTGCACACAGACAGTGGCTGAAAGCCTGTAGCACTCTGCCAGAATAAACTGCTGTTGTTTCTTGAGATAATTTAAATACCTTTTAAGATTTAAATGCTTTCAGAGCTCCCTCTTGCTAGCAAAGGAAGGCAAAATATCATTTCACAAAGGTATTTTCTAGTGTCACAGTGCATGCAGATGTGGCCTGAAGGAATGCCATGGGCTGACCCTGTCCTCAGCCCAAGCAGGGATTTTTCTGGTTCTTCACAGCCATTAACTCATGGGGCCTTTTTCAGAGCTGGAGGAATTAATGGGGATGGAGAACAGCATGCAGAAATACCACAGCGAGTGGAAAACTGAGCCTAGCCTATGAGGTCACTTCAATTGCAAGGGGATTTCTGTGTTCCACTTTCTGTTCCCATTTCAAATCCTTCCTGGCACATCCCTCCGGGTGTGCATGGCTCAGCTGTCCCCGATTCTTTCCTCCATTGGAGCCCCTCAGTCTCCTCAAGCATCCACTGGGCAATGGGACGTCAGAGTCCTTTTCCTATATGGTTTTCCTCAGTGGAAAAATCTCTAAGAAAAAGCTGAGCAGAAATAGAGTGTATCTACACACCTCCAACCCATTTTGGGGATGGGGAATGTGAAATCTGAGCACCCATAGCCTTACAAAGCTTTATCTGTCTATTGGCCTCTTGAGTGGGGTAACACTCCACTCTACTTAGGCAATCCCTGCTCTGTTTTTAAGAAAGAAATGGGAAAAATTCTCCAGGTCATGGGTCAGTTTTGGCTCTGCTCCCAGTAAACCGCAGCAAACCCCATGTTGATGGGATGTGAGGGTTGGAGGTACTGTGACCCCACACCACTGGGAACAACAGAACAGGATCCCCGTAACCAAAGCAACAGCTGAAGTGGAAAAAAGATCAGGAATGGCTCAAGAGCATTTTTAGCTGCCTCCAATGCAGCAGGGGAGACAACAAGAGATGCATGTGCAACATTTCCATTGACTGGAACTCAAGAATCTCTGTTTTATTGGAATATGATGTGAATTCTTAACATTCTGGGGGGGGTAATCTTTATGTCTCTGTATGTGTTGATCACTGAAGCCTATTTCCCAGGCTGCCATGGAATCAGGGGAGCTATGCTCTTGCTAAAAAAGGACTCAAATAACTTCAGGAGCATCAGATGGTTTGCTGTTTGTTTTCTTAACCATCCAGCTCAGAAGGTTAAACTGACGTCATTCTCTCTCGTCTGATCCTGTCTGGGTAAGGATGTGAATGGTTTGGTCCAGGCTTCTCTCCTAGGCTTGCAAAATTACTATTTTATTGTGCTCCGAATTTTTTTTTCATTGGATTTTTGCTTGTTCTATTGGTTTTTGTGGTTGTTTTTAGTTGTTTTTAGAGAAGGGTTGGAGGTAAACTATAGAATCATGCAATCGTTTGAGCTGGAAGGGGTCCTTAAAGGTCATCTGTCCAGCCCCCCTGCAATAAACAAGGACAATAACCCATCAAAGATGAAAGAGGCAAATGTTGGCTAGCGACGATCCTGGGTGCTCAGACAACAGCTTGTCCTCCAATCATGACAGCAAACCAGACAACTGTTATCCTCTTTACAGTTGCAGACCTTACAAGCAGCTTTTTTTTTTGACTCAAAATTTACCCAAATGGACAGGATTCTGGTTGGATATCAGGAAAAATTTCTTCTCTGAAAGAGCAGTTCTGCATAGGCACAGGCTGCCAAGGGAGATGTTGGAGTCACAGTTCCTGGAGGTGCTCAAGAACCATGGGGATGTGGCACTGAGGAACCCTAAGGGCACTTGGGTTCCTGCAAGAGGGCTTTGAAGGTTGGCAATGCTATGATGTTGGTTTCCTTCTCTGTAAACCAGCCCAAAGGTGAGCCTGCGACAAGAAAAACCATTTATGCCCAGCACCTGGTGATGCTGTCTATCCCCAAGACAGCAGCAATGCTCTGGATCCTATAGGGCAGCTCCAGGAGCATCAATTGTGTCCAGAGAAAGCCACACTGGGAGGATTCAACTCCTGGAACAGTGCTGTTGGTGGGCGGGATCTTGCCTGGTGCTGAGCTCGCAAGGCTCTGTCTCATGGGCTGCATAGCTGCTGGGGATTTTTGGAATTAAAAATAATAAAAATTTCACAGGGTTAGTTCGTGTGGTTCTTTAAATAACCAGAGAGTCTGCAGTAGGTGGAGGAAAGCTGAAGTCATGCTGCAAATATGAAGGTAACTCTATCTACTTACCCAAGGCCAAACTGGCACAGTTTGAAAGAGTGCCCGTTAGAAATGGGAGACATCAGAGATAGTGATAAAGCGCTGCTCTGGCTGCTTTTTGGGACTGGATGCTATCAGATCTCACTCCAGTGTGTTTCCAGGCAGACAAAGGTGCATGGGAACAAATGCAAATGTTAACAGGGAGAGAAAGGCCAGAGCCAAAAGCTTTGCATACATTCCCGAGAAACACCTTGGATATGGAAGGAGCTTCAGAAATTGTATCCTCTGGTCTGAAAACTGTGGAAAATCCACAGATTTCTTCTTAGCATAATACATGGTGCAGCAAAGTGGTGGTGCATGCATGGCCCTAAATGAGGCTCATGTCATTGTTGCTCCACTGCAGGACATGGGACACAGCTCCTCGTGGCAGTGCTGTTTGCTCTTTTTATAGCACCAATGTGCATTTGGTACAGCAGGACTGCTGCCAAACCAAACACTGCAGGATTAAGCCTTGATGTATAAGATGCCTTAGAAGGGAATCTGGCTCCCCATGCAAAACAACTTTTGATTTTTCTCTTGGCAAGAGCCTCCCTTTGTCTCCAGATATATATTGATCTCATGTCTGCTCCAGCTGGGGCTGCACAGCCATGCTTCCAGCCTTCCAAGCCTTCCCTTTAACAAACTTCCCTATAAAACAGAAGCAGCTCATGTGTCATGTACACCAGACAGAGGAGAGAAGCATGTGAGCGAGAGCCAAAGAAATGCCATGTTCACTTTGTGCCGTCCATCATAACAAAGCTGCTGCATGCAGGGTGTGAGCAGCCAACAGAGGGGGTTTGTTCCTGGTGTTTCTCTCCTATTCCACAGGAACACAAAGGGGCTGCACCCAACCCGTGCTGTGCCCTTCCCTCGCTCCACTGTGTGCTCACAGTTGGGTTGGAAGGGACATTAAAACCAGCCCAGACCCAACCCGGCCATGGGCTGGGGCACCTTCCATAGTCCATGTGCCCAAAGCCTCATCCATCACCCACAGTCCCAATGGCTGGGATTACCCCAACCCAAGCACAGCACTCAGACACATTCACCTCCATTCACATTTTCCAGTTTGCTCTACCTGCGCATCCCCACCTCTACCATGGATAGAGCCACTTGCCAAGAGCCACTTGCCCCCATCACAAGGGACTTATATCTGGAGACACTCCTGACGCTTCAAGTGCGGGGCCCCCCCTTACTGCCTGCAGGGAGTTTTGCATTAATACAGACTGGAGGAGACGTGGCCTTTCCTTACACCTCTTAGGGATGATTTCTTGCTGAAACAATTTGGCTGAGCAGCTGCCAACCAAAGCCAAGTGCTGGACCACCCATCATCTACCGCGGCACATTGCTACATTCCCACAACATAAAACTAAATAAATAAGAAGCAGAGCAAAGTGTGAGAAAACCAAAAAAGAAGAGAGAAATGCTGGAAAGCTGCCAGGGGACCCGCTTAGTTCTGCAGGTTAAATGCAGAGCGTGAATGGAGCCATAGGAAGGATTGCATCAGCTCATGGGATCACTTACTAGACAGTGTCAGCAGGCAAAATTTGTGAGGCTATTATATAATAATCCAGATTTAGGTGCAAAGATTGCAATTGCTGACTTCTCTGTGCAGCAGCAGCAGCAGCAGCAGAGCTCTGGGAGATGGGAAAATCAGTGCAAGGATGCTTCTATAGGAGGACAAAGAGCAGTTAATAGGTCACATCCTTCACTCTTCCTACACCACTCCCATTGAATCCTGTCCCCTCTTCTCCCCATGTGGTTCCTGTCCAAAAATGCCTGATTTCATCTTTTTTTCCTCCCCTTCTACTATTGCTGGAATACAATGTTCTGTGTGCTGGCAACCCTGTAGCGCTGTGGTTTGCTGCTGCATTGCTTCCCACGCTCCAGGTTAGACAGGAATACGCTCATGCCGCTGGAGGACCTTCAGCCAAGGAAAGGGTTGGGGATGATATCTCAAGGAGCAATTTCTTGCACAGCTGCACAAGTTTGCAGCAGGAACAAATGTGCTGCTTGGGCTGCAGACAAATGGAACCATGCCCAAGCAGCAGCACAGAGCTCTGAGTTAGGAGCAAGCAGAAAACTCAATTATTTTTCCCCCCAGACCAGCTCAAATTGATTGAATGGAGGTGAGGGCTGATCACCCAGCAGTGGCTGAAGGACCAAGTGCTGCTATGGGCTTTTCATGATGAGGAAGGGTTGGGGTTGGAGTTGGCGATCTCAGAAGCCTTTTCCAATCTTAATGTTTCTATGATTCTATGAACTCTTTGTTTCATGGGCTGCAGAAGCCAAGCAGGGAAGGAACTCTCCATGAAAAGATAAACACTGGCAACCACCAAAGCAGAATGTTCCCCTTGAGGCATTTGTTGTTGTTGTTGTTTTTAATAAAATATCCATGGAGATTTTATTGCTTAAAACCTAAAACCAAGGCAAGAACTGCAATGCAAAATGCAACCAGAATAACCTGTGTTTTGTGACACTTCTCCAGTGGGTTCTCTGTGCCTCACTGCAAACCACTCCAAGCAGACAGGACTGGGTGATAACCCTGGGGTGCAGGCAGAGGCCAGGGCTGTGGTGTTGGCTGCCTGCAGCTCACCCTTTGCTTCTTCCATGCAAGCAGCTGCTCTCAGTCCTTGGGGGCAGTGATGCGATCCACCTGCAGAAACAGGGAAGGCTGGAGATGTGACCAGGGTATAATCTATAACCATAAACTATGTGGGGTGTCAAACTGAAGATGGCCGCCAATGAACCCCTTGCTTTATTGCTTTTTCATGCAGTGTTTGCTCTGATACTCATTGGCCATTGGGTAACCCAAGTGGGATGGGTGCAGTGAGACGATACAGGGCCCTTCTTAGAGAGATGTAACAGATTTTAAGCTGCATCAGGAGCCAGAACGGCAAAGGATGTTTTCTGTGCCTGGTGGAGATGCTGCTGTCGCAGCCCTCTGCTTTTTGGAAGGAGTCTTTCTGCGATTTAGCGCTGTTCTGTCTCCTCTGAAACCAACTTCTAAGCATGCAGAACCATAGGACCATGGTTGGATCAGAAGGGACTTCACAGCCCACCCAGCCCCACCCCCTGCCTTGGGCTGGGTGCCACCCACCAGCTCAGCCTCCCCAAGGCCCCACCGACAGCCTTGGGCACTTCCAGGGATGGGGCACCCACATCCTCAGTGCCCCCCACATGCCAGGGCTCACCACCACTTTCAGAATCCAGACATGGGCAAGCAGCTTGTTTGTGTAAAGTTGCTGCCATGGGAATTTGTGAGGACCACAGAAACATGGACTTTTAACAGGAAATAATGGGCCTGAGGAGGGGAAGTGGAAGAAAGGTGTCCTGCCCCCTCTTGAGGTATGGGTCTCATTTATCACAGCCTCTTTAGCATGGAATGGGCCATCTGGGTGAGCTAACTTGCTTTTTCTTTTTTCAAATACCTGTGATCTATTCCAACTAGTTGATAAAATCATGGAAATAGGTGAGAAATAGGACAGCTTTAGGATCAGGCTTGTCCAAAAGCAGCTCCCAAACTACAGGCCTAGCCAAGTGGCCCCACTGAGATAACTTCATCCCCATAATATGTACTTAACTGCTGCCCCTTAATCTATGGCACTTCACTCCTGGCTCTAGTTCTGTGATTTTAATTGATACTAAGGACACAGGTTCCTTGTTTCAAAGCACTAACATCCAAAAGCAGCTTTGTGGCTTTACTACTTGCACAGGAAAAGTGTTTTTTAACAAGAGCATGTCCAAGCTGCTAATCTTATTTAAGAAAACAGATGCTTGTTTGATACTTTTACATGTACTTAACTGAAGACCAGTAATTCGATTTGTTTAATGTAGGGCACTTGATTTTATTCAAAGGGTGAGATACAAAAAAAGTAAGCAAAAAGACAGAACGCAAATTATAAAACATTACAGACAAAATAAGACGTCTTCTGCATACAGCACACAACAGGAAACAAGGTACAGTCTGGTCCCCACAAACCAAGAAAGCTGGATATGTACACGCAGAGGCAAACAGAACCATAGGGAAGAAATGGTGGTATCTGCCATTTCAAATCTCTATTTACACACACAGAATTGAAGGCAAATAGTTTTATCCTCTGATTCAAACTCAATTCCTTATTTCTTCTTCCTGATCCGGTGGAGGGACTCTGTACTTTCTGAGGCAAATTTGGTACCATCAGGTGGGATCTAAAATCAGCCACAAACACCAACATGCCAAACTGCAGCTCCCCCATCCATCCTACATGCTGCTGCTTGCGCTGCCAAGGACTGCTACCAGAAGGGAGAAAACCCTCATTCTGCACTAATGTTGGTCCTCCTTGGGCTTTTAGATGTCTCACTCTGCAGCTTAACCCAACCCAGTTTGTCCGGGCTATTGTTAGGGATACTAATTAAGCAAGATTGCATGCTGTTATACACATGAGATTCTCCCACTTGTCTCAGAGCTGTCACTAGTGCAGCTCTTTACATACAAAGAGACTTTACAGACAAGGATGTGGACAGAAGGGCATCCACAAACCATCGCTGCATGCTACAGACACCTGGCTATCCCAACACTGCTTTGGGCTCTTTGCAATGACATACGTGCAGACTGTACTCACTCATTTGACAAATTCAGAGCTGAGTACAGCGTTTCTTCAGTGCAAACGGGAGGAAAAACCTTTCTGGCCAACGTAAGCAGTAATAGGCAGCTGCTATGCAAAATGAGAAAGGGCTTTACTGGTGTTTACCCATGGCTGGATTTTAGTGAAGGGCTGCTGGATGTCTGCACACCTCCATCAGGAGGAGGGAGTTGGACTGGCTCAGTAAGCAAAACATTCATTCTGGAGAGCAGAAGACTGACTGCTGTTAATAAATATCACAAGACATTCTAAAAGTCCTCTAGGGAAAGAGAGAAATACCATCTGTTCATCAAAACACATGTCTACACAAAATGAGGTAAGGAAAGCTAAGAAGAGTGCTTTATACAATCACACTGGCATGGCAATTAACAATGAGATGCTTTACGGATTCCCTACCATGCTCATCAGAGAAATTCTTCATAGCAAGTATCCTCCATTGAACTATGACAACATCCTACCTGCACGTACTACACCTTTGTTTTGGCAGTTTGTACACTTGAGGCAGTTTGCTGGCAACCTGCAGGATGCAGGGGGTGAACACTACCTTACTTCAGACAAATGAAGAATCTGTTGTGGAGAATTACAGAGAATAAGGGTTTCTCTATCACAGTATTAAAACCAAAGAGCTCAGCAATATCTGTACAGTTACATCCAACAGGAGAGTGTCAGATTCATTACATTTTTCATTTAGAATCCTGTTCTTTGGTCCTCTTTGTACACAACTTCCGTAAGTATTTAACAGCCCATATTACCAGCCTTCTACTGAACAGCAATTTGCATTTTGTGAGGTTGACCACCCTGCCTGCCATGTCAACCACTCTGTTTGCCAGGAGTGAGCTGGCAGACCATTATCTGCACAAGGCAAGCTAAAAGCAACGCTTCGTGCTTTTCTTCTGAATGGAATAGGAGAAGCAGATCTTCAAACCATTCTCTTGCAGGTTCTTTCCCATCAGACCTCATGCTAACGAGAACACAGGATGTGGTACTGCAAGTCCTTATGCTGGGCAATGGAGAACCTTCCCTGGCTCCCAGCCTCCATGCTCAAGGTTCACAGCTTCCCTTAATAAGGTGAGTGGCAGCAGAAAGAGGAGCTGCCCCCAGACTGTTAGCACTGAACACACATTGTTTACTGTTCCTCTGGGAGAATTACATCCTTTCAAAGAAGGGCAGTCTACTGGTCATGCCTAGGCAGAGGCACAGAGTAGGAGTCAGCACCTCATAAGCAACTGCTGTACAACTACAATGCAACATCCTACACTGGCAATACAATGCATTCATAAATTAATAGTCTGAACACAATATTAATAAACATACATATGTTGGCTTCAAGAAAGTTTCCAGGCATGCAGCATTTTACTCATTAACATAACCCAAAACAGCCTCAGGCTGATTATGAACTGAAGTCAGACAGGTTACTGCGGTTTGGTATAAAGCAGAATTGCCACTGTTTTTGGAAACACTTTGTCTGAGCAGTCCTCTTCTGTTGAAAATCATCCACCAGAGCTGAGTTTTAATAGTAATGGATGGTCCCCAAACACTGCATTTGTTAAAGCAGTTTTCCAGGGGCAGCACTTTGAAATATTCACCAGGACTCAGCAAGCACTGCTTTCCACCTTGTGCTATGCTTTTGCATATATAAAGCTAATTCAGAACTCATCAGGCTGGTACGAATTCACCTTTCTACATTAGAAAACACCAAATTAACTGCCCTTTAATGACTTGTTTAACATCTTGAAGGCATATTTTCTGAGTAACTTCTGCAAATAATGATAAAAAATCAAAGTATTTTGTGGCTATCAAGTTTTATCCCCTCCAATTTTACACCAGCTCAATTTGACACAACCACATATGACACTACAACCATATGAACTGCTCCTAAATAAACTAGAACCCATGCACTTATGGGACTCTGTATAACGTAGCAAGACTCACAGAGAGAGATTTAGTGCTGTCTCTGTTCAAAGGACAGAAGGCAGAAACCATTAAGTGATCTGCAGCAAAATAAAGCCCATTCCTTATGATCTCTTCGCAGTGCTACGGCTCTGAGGGAAAAGCCTTCATCCCACAACACAGGAAGAAGGCTGCTTGTTTAAAAACAAATTAAAAGCCAACAAAATAAACACCACCACCAACTGAGCACTGTTCCCCCTCCTTTGTTTGGTAGGCATCCATGGTGCTGAGCCAGACACTGCTTCCACTTGCATTTGAAGGTGTGAGTTCCACCATCTTCATAGGTACAACTACAAAGAGCTACTGTGTCACACTGTGTCATGGCCCAGCTCTATGAGATTGTCAACTGCTAGGTGTTTGGCATAGATAACATCTTTCTGAAGCAGCATTACTTCCTCAGCACATTTACAACATGCCTAGAGCTTCAGAAGCTGAGACAGGTCAGTTGAATCCCCTTTTATGAATGAGGGGGAAGTTGACACAAATGCTCTTTTACAGTTTCTTCCACTGTTAAAATACCTGCACAAACATGACCATGACCAGCAGCAGCTCCTGTTCCAGTTGTACACTCTGGTATCGCTGCCTAAGAGCATGACAGGTAATGCATTGAATGGCTCCTCACCAGCAACTGGAGTGAGCCACACTGGTAAGAAACAATGACAGTATCTGAAAGTGAAGTGGAGGGCCCTTTACCTAGAAGACTCAGTAATTTTTAAAGAAAACCATTTAATAGCTTCCATGGAAATCTACTGTTCAAAAAACCCAAAGCTATTGGCATAGCATGTGGAATCAATTTGACAATCACTAATGTAATGGAATTACAGTGATCTCGTACACAAACAATCAATTACCAAAATAAGATTTACCTAGGGGATTTAAAATCAAGTTATTTTGGTACCAAAAAGAGTCTTTCACTTAATTCCCCTTTGCCCCTATGATTCAGATGATCTTTCACTCTACAGTTACGGACTTGGCCAGATTTCTTGGAAAATCAACCTGCAGAGAAGGAGGAGAAAGAAGATGCTTGTGAGTATTTACACACTTTCTTTGTGTACAACTCTTTAACACGTGAAGTGTTGGTTCTGTGTTTAAATTGAAGTCGACTGAACATATTTCCCTATTAATGAGGATAATCAGTGCAGAAGAACAAAGGACTCGGTCCCTTTGGCGTACACTGTTACAGATCTCAAATACAGAAGGTCATTGCGATAAGAGGTAGAGACCGGTGCCTGTGTTATGATCGAGTAACCAACACAAACAAACTCTGTATCTCAAACATCCTTCTGTGGATTTTTTAGCTTCCTTTTTGCTCCCTACCAACCATCCAGCACTAGAAAACAGACACATCCAAACTCAAACTGCACACTTCTCAGCCGTGTGTCAAAGACCGCCCTCACGTTTTGCTCACAAAAAGCCTCTGCAGTTGCTAGGTCTACCTTTTAACCTTGTTCCGATAACTCAAGCAGTCACACAGACAGCCCCCACAGACTTCCAGCCACACCCAATACACTTTTTCCAGACATGCAGGTAGCAAGTACAAATGCAAGAGATGAGGAAGGGAATTCAGAAGAGAATATCATACTTACATCATATCCTCTGAGAACTGCAAGGTGAAAAGCCAGAAGCTGAAGGGGGATAACACTCAGGATACCCTGCAGACAGTCCACAGAATGGGGAACTTTGATTGTCCTCTTATTGTTCTTAATTGTCTCGATGTCTTCCTTGTCACAAATGATAACAGGTCGTCCCTGAAACAAGAAAAGACAAATTTTGAATTAAAATAGGTCTGAAATGTTCTGTTTTTCACTTATATTCAGATCAGTGGTGGCAAGAACCTCTTTCTTAATTCAAAACAAAACAGTTTAACATCACATGGGCATCTCTGTAGCATATTTTAAAGGATAAACAAAGCCCATCAGGCTTCTGCATCTGTTGCGTTCTGTCAGTGTACTCTTCTCATTAAACCACAACATCAGTGCATTCTGCACGTGCATATGAACTGCACAGTCTGAGTTGTTCCCTTTTCTGTGATTTGACAGAACTGGGAAATCCCAGAGGCTTAAACAACAAACTCCACACTTCAAATAGGAGTTCCTATGCATTCTTAGCTAGTGAAATACTGTTAAAACTGAAAACTACCTCAGTTCTATGGGTTCTGCAGGAGTTATCTACAAATATCTTGAACCTAACCCACAGTGCCACAAAGGTCTCAGCCTCCACCTTCTATTGCCCTGTAAGATTTGTAGCAAAAACTGTCATAAATTTAAGAATAAAGATACCAGTCTCCCTCCTACTCTTTTTTTCCACCAATATTATACAAAACTGCCCATAAAGACCACCTACTGAACTTACATTTTAGGTAGTGACACTATAGCAGATTAGGTAAAGCTGCTTCCATATTAAAGCCTGCATTTCTGGTGCACTAGAAGTTTTTACAGGTACTTACTTGTCGTGCAATGACCTGCTGGAGAGCATTTTGGCACTTTGCATACGTATGGTCTCTCATGATGATCATGATAACAGGCATGAGTTTGTCCACCAGTGCAAGAGGGCCATGCTTCAGCTCACCTGCCAATATCCCTTCAGAGTGCATATAGGTAATTTCTTTAATTTTCTAGATAGGGAAGAAAATAATCTTTCATAAGGCCTCATGATTTGTCATCGGTCAATGCATACATCATCACAGCCTAGAACTGGGCAGGTAAATACAAAGAGGACATGTGGATGTCCATAGGTGACAACAAAATGCCGAAAGGAATCTTTTCAGAGGTAGAAATTGCAATACACAGGTTGTAGAGAAGGAATGTGCTCAATTTGGGATGCTAAGCACTTCTGGAAATGTCACCCCAACAGTTTAAAGAATTGATTTTATCAGGGTGCCCTGTCTGTAATCCAAATAGACTCGAAACATTCCCAATGCAAACACTGAAGCTGAAAATACATTTCAGTCCACTGTAGCCAGCAGCTATGATGTGAATTGGGTATCTTCACGTGGAAATAACAGCAGCAGTATGGCAAGTGTTATTTCACACACTATTTCAGCCTGTGTCAGCCAGCAGACCACAGCTGCTTGCTGTTTATAAATCAGCTTGTAGCCAGGTGTCTAATCTAAGCCCACAGCTAAGTGCACTTGAAAAAGTTTCAAATAAAGAAATCTCTTACCAAAGCTCCCTCTAGACATGTAGCATAGTGGTAGCCACGTCCCATGATGAGAACAGACTTCTGATGGTACAGCTCTGTGGCCAGCTTCTGAATCTCATCGTCCATACTCAGCACTTCTTTAATCAAGTCTGGAAGTATCAAAGTTGTGTCTGCTTATAACCCTGCCTCTCTCAAACAGTACACACTGCCTATACTTCATATACACAGACAGCCATGACTTGCAGTGAACTGGACTCAGTGTTTAACAGTCCAATTTAGTCCTCTGAATGCATCAGAGAGAATACAGTTGCAAAGTTACCACTGACAGTCATATTGCACAAATCCTTCCATCTTTCAAATGCAAAGCATAGGCACTGTCAGGTTCACCTGTGCTATTAATTATTACTTTGCAAGATGGAATCAAAGCAATGTTTTCCTACCTGGTAGACCTTTAAGACCACGCATGATTTCCTTGCGTCTTTCTTGCATAGAAATTCTGTCATCGCACATCATGAGAGCAAACATCACCAAAGAGACAAACTGGCTGGTATAGGCCTAGTAAGGGGAAGGGAGAAAGGAGAGAGAAACATATTATTAAGACAGAAAGCAAACAGTTCTCACCTACAACACCCTTCAATTAGCTCCTGATTTCATTCTTAATACATTACTAAATGGTGGCTTTCCTTCCAATCAAGTAGGAAAGAGCATTTCTAGAATTTCTGGCAATTACTAAATCCTGTTTTGTGACTACAGCTATGTCCTTCTTTCTGTATTTGAGGGAGCAAATGACGACAGCACTGATGATCAGCAGACCCAGTGATGGAGACACACAGTGGAAGCCCACCGCTACCTCCGGATATTGTAACACTGCACAGCCGGCTGCAGGATTTTTGGACCACATGCAAGAAAAGCAAAGTCTACTGAAAAGGTGATTTCCCACCCTTCCTCCCCCTTAGCTCTTCAGGAACAGCTTCTGAACACCTCACCTTGCAAAGGCTCTCTAAAAGATTCCAGTGCTGGGTATCACCAAGTCTGGGGAAAAATCATCTACACAGTGCTCAAGGCAACTCTGTCTGCAATAATATCTGAGGCACAGAATCCAACAGCTATTATGAGGGTGAGCCTTTGAAGTCCTTAAAAGACCAGTGTTGTGATGAAATGCTCTGCAGAGCCAGCCTGGGATTGAAGTCACTTAGAAATAAGATCAAGGTTTGTAGTAGTTCTGCCCCTTTTTCAACCATGATCAAAATAACCCCCACGTTGAATACTGAAGAACAGCTCTGAAGGAATTTAGAAAAGCTTGAATGATGGCGACTAGGAGAGTTTGATACAGAATGTGACCTCCTACTTTTGGGGAGCATGCAGTTGAAGACATGCTACGTTATTTATCATGTGTTCTCAAAATGAACTTGAATATACAGCCTTACGGGGAAACCTCTTCCAGTTCATATTTCATATATGCACAACTTTGGTAACTCCCCACATGTCCAGAGAGAAAATGCCATTTTCAGTTATCTCCAACCACTGGTTATGTGAAAACAACCTAGTGACAAACAACTCGTTCAAAGTTTTCTTGTAAGAGACTCATGAATTTTCCATGATCAAATTCCCCACTGAACTATTAAACTCCAATGTGGTTTTTGGCTGAATTTATGTAACAGATTGACATCATCTCGCCTCTAAATATAACTAAATCAAAGCAGATTTCACTGTGCAGAAGCACTTCACTGAAATGAAATGCAGCATAGCACAGTATTTTAAACTGTATCACATGCAGCCAGATGCATCAACCATAGAATAATTCTTAGGTGGACACAAAAAATGGGTTTATTTTATCAATCGTTCCCCCATTTGCTAAAAGTAAAGCTTTAACATCAGCATTCTTTGGTAAAGCAGTGTGATTCAGGGCAGTTGTGTATTAAGTTTCTGAAATTCTTACTAATGCCTCAAGATGGAAAAGGAAAAAGTTTAAACCAAGACTGTAGCTCAGGACAAATGACTGAGAAGAGAATTTTTGCCTTATAGCGTATTCTTCTCTCCAAGACCACTTTGTTTTCAACACTTAATATTGCTTCCTCGCAATGTTTCCTTTACAAAATAGAAGAAAGCTCTTTGCAAGATACAAGAAAAGGAAAACGAATAGTACTGATGTGCACACAATCACTGACTACACAGTCATCCACTGCAACTGTTAAAAAGGGAGTAGAAAGCATTCTGAGGACCCGTACAACAACCAATGTCTTCACAAGAGATTCAGTAAGGTCTGTGAACTTGGTATTACCTTGGTACTGGCAACCCCTATCTCTGGTCCTGCATTGATATGGACTCCACAATCCGTCTCCCGTGATATAGAGCTGCCAACTGTGTTGGTTATGCCTACAGTTAAGGCTCCTCTCTCTTTGCAGTACCGAAGACCCATCAAAGTATCTGCTGTCTCACCTGAAAAGACACATTTTCCAGTGCTTTTGTAGCATTTGTATCAGTTACTCCAGCCACTGCAGACGTAGAACTGCAGTGCTTTTCCCAATAGAATCTTAAAGGTTTGTGTTTGTCTGTAAGTCAAAGGAGTCAGCAATTAAAGAGACTGGTTTAAATGAACTCAACGGGTGGGAAAATAAAATCCTCACACTGGTGATCCCAGCAGTGATGTTTGTGGGCTGAGCTCCACAGATGGGACTAGAAGCTACCATATATTATATCAATTTGCCTTTCTCCTAAAAGAACACCTCTTTTGAGGTGCTCCTGTCCATACGACAACAGAAAAACGAAGCAAGTTAGGTTCACTTCTACTTCAATATTCCAATACAAAAACAACACTGGCTGCACACTGCATTACATACTACCAGCCAGTAGGGTGGAAATCTAAGAGTAGAAAAATAGATTTACGAATGGGGGTAGGCAGGGGTTGAGTATCTACTTTGGTTTGGTTTTGTAATGCCTGATAAACAAGCTTAGGTTCCAGGAAAATCCTTGTTTGCATGCCACATCCAACACTTCAGGGGAAAGATCTACTCCCGAGGGTTCTCAATCAGTCGCCTGCTACATTTGGGACAGTGCAACTTATAAGAAAAAGCAAAAGGTTTCAAAATCTGGAAAAAGCTATAACACTTACACGAGTCCCCTACAAACGAAGGGACACTCTAAGTTAACTGACACTTTGCCACCTAAAGTGTATTTCATTGTATTGATGAAAATCTAACCATTAGTTTATAATAACAAAGCTGAAAATCAGCTGCAACAATCTGCAACTAAAATGAAAATAAATTCTTGCCACTGCTTTTGGAAATATTTTAAATAGGATATATCACGATATTTCTTTCTAAGATAAGCATGTGTTTTCTCACTCATCCCATTCCAAGGCTGCTGGATTGCTGATCCACTGTGCAGCTCAGTATCTAGTACAGCTTTAACTAAAGAACTACAACTATTCAAAGGAAACTACTGTGTTGCCTTTACGCAGAACCTCAGAAGAATGTTTTTTCAGCCTTCTGATTGATGGAATATTTCCTCACAGAGAAAGGAAACAAAACCACCGTCACCATGTGTAAGGCTCAGCTAAATGAACGCATGCAGATGGACAGGGGGAGAACCACTCCATTTTTTCCCCATCTCCTGTATGTCTGTGCCACTTTCTTCCTTTACATGTAGGATCTGCAGTCCTACAGACAGGCACAAGAATTCAGCCTCGCTGTCTTTGGCCTCCCAAGCTTATAGGAAAGATGTGAGCGAGTTGGGTGGTAAAGTGAGACCGTACCTGACTGGCTGATGAAAAAGCAAACATCATCTCTGAAGACAGGAGTGTTTCTATCCAGGAAATCACTGGCTAGTTCAACCATCACAGGTAATTCAGTCAGTTCTTCCAGAACCTGACGGGTCTGGCAAAAGGTAATGTTAGAAAGATATTACTAACAAAATACATTTAAAAAATTAGAACTAGATTATGTTCTAATTACTCCGTATAATCAAGTGACATACAACTACCCCTGTTAAAAGCTACCCTGCTTCCGGTCCCATAAAAAGCCTATAGGGCCAACTGCTTCCAATTCTTCTGAAAAATTCTTCCTTCTTATAGAGTGCCATTCCATCAGACTGCAACTTGTATTACCAGTGAATTCAAGAGCTACGAACAGTATCCAGGCCAAGCCAGAAGCTTGTTGTGGCTACTCAACTGAATACTATCAACATTTTCATAGATCACTCAAGCGTTCAAACTTTCAGTTCCTATCTAGTCCCTGGATGTGTTCATGCCAGGCTGGATGTGGCTCTGGGCAGCCTGGTCTGGTGGCTGGCAACCCTGTCTGTGGCAGGGGGTTGAAACTAGATGATCTTTGAGGTCCTTTTCAACCCAGGCCATTCTATGATTCTATCTTTGCTGCTGGCAATTTGAAAGTCTGGTAAATACAGCTTCCAAGGGATCTTCACCAAGCAGTACACATTTGCTGAGCATTATCATCTCATCCTTATCCTGCTGACAGATGCAGCATCGTACAGCTCACAAACAGATCGAGACTGACCACTTACTGCAACTCCAGCATGGTAACTCGTCCCACAGGCAATAAGAATTAAACGACGACACCTCTGAATCTCCTTAATGTGATCCTTCAAGCCTCCAAGATTCACTGTAGGCAAGATTCAGAGAGAAAAATTAGGGTGGCCAAGTACCAGAACTTCTCAAGATTACCGGTGTGAATAACTGCTGGATGTTGTGCTGCCAGAAATAAAGAAGAATTCATCTCAATTACCAGTGTAGTCATCAAAGTTGACCCTTCCTCTCATGGTATTAACAACGGATTCTGGCTGCTCAAAAATCTCCTTTTGCATGAACGAGCTGAAGTTACCTATAAAATAAATAAGAGACAAGATAATACTTTTATTTACTTTCAGGTAATTCACATTCACATGGGCAAAAGCTTTAATTAGAGTCACTGACATGCCAGTTATCAGTCAGAGATGATTTTTCATTCTTGTACCTAATGAACCTTACTATTAAGGTTCATTTCATTTCATTTTCTACCAAAGCATCAGCTCATCATAAGAACTAGATTCAATGTATCAGAATGTGTCGACTAATGGTTAGATCCAAGGTGGTTAGGGTTCAATCTCAGAACATACTGATGCCTCCAAGCAGGAGAGAAAATCCTCAGCCCCACAATTCTCATTATGGTGTTCACTTGACGAAAAGTCTCATTAGATGCAAGATCGATTTCTTGCACCATGAGGGTGAGGTCAAGCACTGGAACAGGCACTGAGAGACTCTGTGGGATTTCCATCCTTTGACATATTCCAAACTCAACTAAATAATGATCTGAACAATCTGATTCGGGTTGTCACTATTAGAATTACCATCAGATTTCAGTCTCTGCTCTGTTACTTGAATAAAACAACTTGATCCAAGGCCAGATCATCCCCAGAAGTCCTTCAGAACCTGAAAAATTCTGTGACTGTGGGTACGTGCATCTACCCAGGTGACATTCAGAAGAGTTACCCTTCATAATCTGTTGAAGTTCCATCTGCAAGGTTTGCACGGCACGCCCGGGGTGATCGCCTGCTGTACGTTTGATCCGGTGGATGGAAAGACGGCCATCAACCACAGCTGCTACATCATCATCCTCAAGGAAAATCACTCTGTTGGTATGCTCAATGACAGCACTATAAAAGCATACATCATGTGCCGTAAGACATTATTTACCACAGAAATATGAGGGCTACAGCCCTATTTATAATTGAACATAAAGATTTTAGAAGTTACTCGTATCAATGGAATTTTATTTTTTAATGAGAAGAGCATTGTGAAGAACATTTCCACACTGCCAATATAACTGGATTTTTCCCCATCTACCTTATTATGGAGCTCAGTGCCTGCTTGAAGAAGAAACTATGAGCTCCTCAGACAAAGTAACGGGATCTAAGCATTAGGAGCTAGAATGGAAGTCAGGAAGAAGGTAACACACAGGATGCTAAACTGCAGGTACAGAGTCCCTTTCCTTTTCCAGTGATGAGCAATCATTCCTCCTTGCATTTCAATTTCCCCATCTATAAAACCTTGGGCAACCTGGCCACCTCTTAAAGTGCTTTAAGATCTACTTAGACATACTCCAAGCACTGGGTGCTACTGAACACCTTCCCTGCTTGCAGGTTACTTGAGTAGGGCCAATAGTAGAATTACCATTAGATTTCAGACTCTGCTCTCTTACTCAAAGAGAGCTGCACTGAAGCACATCAACTCACTATTTCAGCAGTTTTTGTTCTGACTTTGGATGAGCTCTGTGAGACCAGAGCATGGAGGGATACCCCAAGACTCTCCAAAACACTGACAAAATGCCCTGCTGAGTTGAGCACTGCAGTGTTTTTACATTTCCGCAACAAGTATCGATTTCCCCAACATACAGAAAACCACCAGCTCTGATAAAGCTGTTGTCAAGTTGTTCCTTCCTACTTCCACTAAAATAAGCCACCTCTGACAACAAAGGAATTGCCCATGTACAGAGATCACTGGAGAAGCAACATCTGTCCTGTTACTTTAGGTCTGTGCTCTCCCAGGTTTCCCAACACACACCTCTGGAATCTTAACAATAGTTAAGATCTGCCTCTAAAGAACAAATCTATATCTACATTGAAAGATGCTATAGCACATTACCTAGCATCAGAAGCAAAATAGTACTCCACAGCTTTCTCCTCAACAGGGAAGAGGCAGGTGGTGCTGTCCACACGAGACAGGTTGCAGCTTCCCTTCTTATCCTTACCTAAAAGACACAAGGGTTAGGAACTGTACACACTGACAAATGCAGAATAAGCTGCAGGGTTATGCTCAGCCAAAGATCCCAAGGCACAATACCAACATGAAGCACTATTTCCATCACTGTGAGCGGTCACAGTAAATTGAACAGCAACAACGAATAGAGGGCAGCACCAATAACTGTATTGTGGTACATTTTCTCAGTTTGCTTACATGCTTTTTATATGCTTTTGAGTTAAACCTGCAAGCGTAACATTGCATGCAGAGTTTTAAGTTTATAGAAAAACAGCAGTAAAAAAAAGTTGAAGCATGACTCCACTAGGAAAAGAGAACTCACGCTGCTTTACGAGCAGTCACAGTTAGCAATATTTTCCCAGTTGAATATGTCCTGTTTATCATTACAAATGCCTCCTGTGCTCGTGTTTCACTAACTGTCCTGGAACTTTAAGAACGCAAGCAGGATTGCTCTTTCTTTGTCAGTGATTCTTGTCACCAGATGACATTCTTTCACACCACCTGAGCACCACCAGCAGTAATTCAAACCTGCTTCTGTCTGGCTGAGCTAATGCACTCAGACACAGATGAGGAATTCATGATTAAGCACTTGGCATTGCTCCTGAGATATCAAATACAAGCTTCTCAGCTGGATTCAAGATTTGTCTTACGCTGCTGGGAAGGAAGTATCTAAGAGGACTGAAGGACAGAGGACTAAGAACCAACTTGATTTGGTAACGTAATGCTGAGAATTGTAGTGCTGCAAATGTAAAGGAAAAATACTGCTTTCATGTTGGTATTTCATAAGGTTCCACTCAGCCAAGAGTTCAGGGCCATCCACTTCGTCAGGTCAGTAAATGAAGGAAAAGACAGAGCGAAGGTGTTAGTGGCCAACCCCCAACAGAAGTACCCACACTTGATCAAAACATGCAAATCTTGCTTCTCAAAATGCATTTCCCCACACTGACTTTACTATGTTGCAATGCTTTCCGCTGAGCTGGAGTTGGAATGGACAATATCTGTATCTTAACCAAGGAGTGGCTGAAAAGTTACAATGAGCATTATCAACTAGTTATAGCTTTTATCTATTTGCCCAGAGATGACCCAATTATCTATGGGTAACCCAGATTGTTGCTGCATAGCATCCACTTCCCAATGACTAGAATCTATGAGAATCTTTCCCCTTCTAAATCAAAGAACTGAAATGCCATGGAGAGTTAACACAGGTATAATGAAAACTGGGGAGGAGGGATATGCCTGGAGTACATTTTAATACCATCTCTCTCCCTTATCACAACTCCAATCATGCTGCAGCTCTGCAAAGGCACTGCTGCACAAATGAACAATGCTGCTCTTTCCTGCAGCTCCAGATGTGAACTCAGTTCATCAGATCACACATGAAAGTGCGATTAAATTAAGTACTTAATATGAGATTAAAAATGGTTCGTCCTAATAAGTGCCCAGTATATTTCAAGCTGAACAAACACAGCCACGTTAATAGAGCAAAGGGAAGTGAGCTGCAGTCACACGTAAACCTCACTGCCAAGCATTTGGGCACAACACTTGAAGTAGGTTCAGCGGATTTTCCCGTGCATTGCTCATAGCATTTGTGATCCAGAAGAAATTCCCATTAGTTATCCCCCAGTTATCCCATTTGTTTCACTAAATTACATGGAAAGCAATAACCACACAGTAAAGAGACAATGCATATTTGCTTCATTTTTGATTCCTAACAAACTGGAGGATTTGTCTGAAATATCAACTATGAGATTTTCTTTGGTAGGCACCTTCCTCCACGTTTATGGATATTCCATCAAAAGAATGATCCATAGACTGTACAGCTGAAAGTGTAATTGGAAAACAAAATTCAGATCATTGGGGAAAAAAAAAGGCTGTTACAGGCATACATGAGGAATTACTGCTAATCATCCAACATCAACCAAGATTAAATAGACAGCTTACTAGGACTGGTTTCTCATAATGCAGCAAGGTATCATTAGCAGCACCATCAGGAAGGAGGAAAACATACTGGGACAGTCCTTATGATCACTGTAGCACTCAAAGAATGACTCAGTGCTCAGCAACTGAATGGTTTTAACAATTTTCATTATGGGGGAATAAAATAAGGTTCATGACAGTGCTGGCAAAGCATGTTCTTAAAAGCAAATAAACTTCTGAATGCCAACATGCCACAAACATAATATGAATGCAAGGATCTAAGTTGAACTGTACTGCATTAAGACACGTTTTGCTTGTAGTCAGAGGACATTAAAGCTCACGCTTACCTGTACGGTACAGGATGGGGATGTGGTCAGTGGAGAGCTTGTGCTCACTACGCACTCCTATGAGCAGAGGGCTGCCTCGTCTGCAAGACACCGAGTGACAATCCTCAGCACCCAGAGGTTTGGCTGAGCTAAAATGCGTCCCAAATTCAGCATTAGCTCTGCGAGCGTAACCCAAATCCCAGATGTCTGAGCCAGGAACACAAGGACTGCTGCTCACTGTGTGCACCTACGGTTATTGGCACGTAAATTTGAACTTGGTTATTATGTTAACACGTGATTAAATCAACTGGACTGATCCTCATGTTCAAAAGTGGAGAAGGACACCAGGCTGGCTCGTTTGCAAGTCAAATGAAGCACTTGCCCACATGCTGCAAACACAAAAGAGAAAACCATCTCCTTCTAAAGCTCTTGCAACCAAAAGTCTAGAGAAAAAGCTGTTCCTCCTGAAGCTCAGAGCTGCTCTGTTCCAATTGTAACACAGGTTACAAAGAAACCTTTAAAATACTTGGTGCACCCTTCCAATGGATCCATTCTGCTCTTTGGAATTTTCTGTTATAGTAATTGGAGAAGTGAAAAACAACAGTCAACCTCACCCTACCATATATACCTTATCATATACACCATACATTTTATCATATACCATGAGAACAATCTCTGTTGTCTTCTATCCTGGCTTAGGAGGGAACATACCTCGAGGCTGGGTGCACCAAGACTGGTTTTTAATATACAAATACTTACCTTGTACCAACTGCTTGACCAGGATAATGAACGCTTTTGAATACAAGGGCAAAAGCACCTTCCTAGAATGAAAAAAATATGGTTTATCCCTTCATTTGAGGCCAGGGCAGGACTTTAGGCATCTCAGCATACAAACTACACTTACGTTTCTGTAAATATGTTGGAGATACTGAGCAGATTTCACTGACGCCTTGGAGCCACCAGGTGCCCTGGGCTCCTCCTCAGCCCTCCTGGGCTTCACTCACTGAGCTCTGAATTGCCTAGCAGTCCCTGCAAGCACTCCTGTGTTAGCTCACAGGGAACTTACGAGGAAAAAAAACTGATAAAAAGCAACATTTGTTCCTGTCTGCAGTTACTGCAGCTTCTGCCAAAGAAATCACTGGGGAAAAAAAAACACCACCTGAGCAACCTGCCCTGGGAAGAGATGTGCACTGTGATGGATTCTGGTACTGCGCAATTCAGCCACAGCTGACACATGGAAGCCAGGCTGTGCGGTGGAGTTCCCACCAGGGGTCAGCATCTCTTCCAGATGGAGACTGCAGGCAGACTGCAAGCACACACTGCCTGGACCTGACCCCGTCTCTAACAGGGCTCCCTGGGTATCGCTCCCAGGATGCATGTCTGTCCCCATCCATCTCTGTGTTCCCACCCCACACTGTGCCCCATGCATTACCAGCTGCTGGATGACTCTCTCCACCAGGGTGGTGAAGCTGATGTCGTCGCTGTCCCGGTTGTCATACATGTACTTCACCAGTTTGGCGATGCTCTCTGTGTCCGTCTCTGACTCAAAGTCATAGCCCTTGCTCTCCTGCAGCAACAGCACACATTGGGTAACCAGCCCTCTATTTCCTGCCCCTCCCTTTCTTCCACTCCTCCTCCTTTCCTTCCTTTCCATTTTGCCTTCCATCTTTCATTTTTTCCCTCCCACCCACTCATCCATCCCTTCTTCCCACTCCATTGATCCAAGTGAGAGAGTGGAAGTGCAAATGGAGGCATAAGCGCAAGAGGAGTAGAAGAGAAAGCACGATGTAGAGTGTGTGTGTCAGTAAGTGCAAATACAAAAGTGCAACAGCACAAGAAGAGCAAGAGTGGGTGCTCGTGAGTGTGCATGAGTTCAAGGGTGACTGTGAGCAAGGAAGTGGTAGGGAGCAGGGGAGTGGGAGAGTGAGAGTGCAAGTGGAAGACTGAGAAAAGGAATGAATGCAGCTTGGGAGTGCATGGGGGGCTCATGATCCCTCCCAACAACACCAGGGTTCTGCTCACCAGGAATTTCCGCAAGTCTTTGTAGTTGGTGATGATGCCATTGTGGATGACGATGAATTCTGCAGACAGAGGAAGACACGGTTCAGCCTGGCAATTGGCACCCACCTATGCCCACAGCAGCACAACACCCAATAAACAGCAGGGATTATAGACCTTCACGGTCTGTAAAGCCACCAGAATAAAGAGTTTCACTTCCTGGTATGATTTCCTTGCCCTTCCCCATTCTGTTTGGTTGTGAGTGGCAGAAGATAACAACGACCCTGCTGGAAATAAATGAACACTTCATTCCTCCTGTCAGATTGTTGGTGCTGTCTCCTGGGCTGCTACAGCAAAAAAAAAAAAAACCCGAAACAAAACAAAAAAACAACCAAGCCACTTCTGTACAGTGGTGGTGATCAGAAAAAAAAAAAAAAAGTGGCAGAAGATAAAATCCAAAAGAATATTTGGGTAGATTCTTACCATCCATTTTCATTCTGTGTTAACTCTTCTTGCACTATGCACTGAACCTCTGGGATGCTGATCCCAGCTCTCCATGAGATCAGTCAGTGATGCAAGTAGCTCATGAGAACTTTCCCACGGTGAAAATCAGACTCAGTCTCCTCCAGCTTCCCAATGACTGCGCTCATCATCACAGTCTGCATTAAACCACCCATTCTGGGTCCACCCTTCTCTGTGACATGTTAGGTGTCCCAAAAAGTCAGATGCCAAGCAAATGTTCTCACCATTGTTTTTATCTGAGCGCTGTGGATGGCTGTTGATGGGATTAGGCTCTCCATGGGTAGCCCACCGGGTGTGCGCAATTCCAAGGTGCACATCGAACTCGATGTCAAGATCCATGTCCTGCTGCTCTGCAGGCAAAAGTGGGAGAAGGTTAATTATCCCGACCCAAAGCCATGGGAGAATCTCATCCCACCTCCCAAGTCCACAGAGATAGCAATACTGAGCAGCTAGAAGAATTGGCAAACCTAACGAAACGCCAAGTTCTGACCCAACAACTTTGTGACTCTCTGTGTTCAGTACAGATGTAACGAATCTAGCTTTAAAAATCAAGGAAATATGAAGAGAAGCAGGTGGACAAGACCTCACTTTGTGCGCTCTTATTGATTTGGCACTTAAGACATCAGTGCCTACTTGTAGCCATTCACATACTTCATTGCTATGCAGACTGTTTTACAGGTAGAAATATAAAATTCAACCATTGAACTTATTAGTACATTCTTCTTGCTTCACGGCCAAGCTCTAGATGTCTAATAACCATCTCCCAGGATCTCCCATTTTCCCAGTTTGAAGGAAAGTTTGTTTTATCAGGTTTGAAACTGTATTTTAAATCTATTTAACATTAATAGCGTGTGTTTCTCTGTAACTTCATGCTCTCAGGTCCTCTGAACACACGTATGAGTACTTATACCTCTGGCACTTTACCTAGAAGTTATTTCCAAATAAGAGTTTTTCAGCATAAAATAGATGATAATCAAAACACAAATGACATGAGAAAATGTTTCAATAGAAGAGAGCAAAGAGTGAAAGAACAATACATACTGTGCACCTCTTCATCCAGAGCCTTCACTTTCCCCTTCTGTTTGATAAGCTGGATTTTGCAAGCATTAGCTTCCCAGTCTTTGTCGTTGCCACCATCGATTCCCACACCTAAGCATCATCATGGAATATAAATAGCATGAAATGCAGAACCAGTGTTACAGCTATTTATGTAAAGAAATACTGCTGCCTTTTTTCTGTACAATGCCTTTTCTCTCTCCAAAAGAAAAGGCAAGAAACCCTTAAGACTGAAAGTCAATCTTCCCCTTGTCACCTTGGAGATATTTTCAATACCATGGTAGAGGGGTTGCAAATAGATGACCTTTAAGGTCCCTTCCAACCCGATGCATTCTGTGAGTCTACAATCCAAATCACAGAATGGCTTGGGTTGGAAAGGACCTCAAGGATCATCAAGCTTCAACCCCCCTGCTGCATGCAGGACCACCAGCCTCCACATTTAATGCTAGGTCAGGCTGCCCAGGACCCCATCCAACCTGGCCTTGAACACCTCCAGGGATTGGGCATCCACAACCTCTCTGGGCAGCTGTTCCAACACCTCACCACTCTCTCTGTAAAGAACTCCCCCCTGACATCCAACCTAAATCTTCCCTCCTCCAACTTAAAACCATTTCCCCTTGCCCTGCCATTATCTATCCTTGTAAAGAGTTGACTCCCCTCCCATTTGTAGGCTCCCTTTAGGTAGTCGAAGGCTGCAATGAGGTCACCCCACAGCCTTCTTTTCTCCAGGCTAAACAAGCCCAGCCTTTCAGCATGTCTTCGTATGGGAGGTGCTCCAGCCTTCTGATCATCTTTGTGGCCTTCCTCTGGACCCTCTCCAATAGCTCCCTGTCCTGTATTGGGGGACCCAGTCCTTAAATGCCAGGCATCAAGAACATGTACAGAAGTTCACATGTTGAAAGTTAAGCCAAACCTCCAACCACACAACCATACGCATATCCAATTTACGTTTCAGCTTCCTTCAAAAGCAGAAGACAGTAGAAAACATTTACAACACAATGAGAATTGCTAAGCCAAAATCCAAGAAAGACCACTGTTACCTGCAGAGTCATAACCACGGTACTCCAACCGCTGGAGACCTTTGATAAGGGTCTCCAGAATCTCCCTTCTTGTCCGGGGAACATGGTAGTTCAAGTAAGCAAAGATGCCTGCATAGGAAAAAAAGAGCATAATATCACCATAAAGTCACAACTGAGGAAAATTGGGTTTTTAGTGCTTAAGAACCATTTTCAAGACGAATTTTGCCTTGAATAGCTTTCCTAAGATCCTCCGACAGAAAAATTTGGGAAAACTTAATTTAAGTCCTGCAAATCAACACTTTCAAAGTAATAAGGCTATTTTTCCAGAGGGCTGCAAAGGCTGATAGATCACTGCTTCTATGTTTAAGTAACTGGATACAAACACATCGTGGTGATGGGGATATGCAAATTCCTGGATTTCCGACACCAGCTACAGCTCTATTTCAGAAAGATTAGCTTTGGTGCCATCACGAAGCAGGAACATGCAAAGACATTTACTGGATGCTAGAAATATCCATGCTGGAAAACTGTCATTTCCCTCTTTTTAAAGGAGAAAAACACCTGCATGGAATAGAAGCATGGCAGTTTCACACAAACATCCATACATGTTGAGAAGGGAGTTCAGTCAGCCACCCACTCAAAGTCCTTCTTAAAGGCATCCCAAATGTGTTTTTTTTTCCTCCAGATGGTGCTGCCATATAACATTCTTCAGTTCCTAAACTTCTGCATGGAATATTTTAGCTCCGTGATGACTCCTTCCTCAGTGTCTTTTGCTCCTGCCTTCACTTCACCTAAACCCAAAGCCTTACCCCATAACCTCCTGTAAGAATATCAAGGCTAGAATTATAGAAAACTACAATTTTTCTTCCTTTGCTCCCGACATCCTACACCAACCAGCTGTTACCACCTCTCAAATTGCATCTGTTCAACCTGTTCTTGCACCTAAATGATCAGAGTGAGTCCCTCGCCCACAACCTTTGCAATGGACAGCTAAATCTCAGCAAGTAATAAAACAGTGACAGCAGTCAACAACCTTGGCCACGTTTCAAAAGCTCCCTCTGCTCTCACCCTCCTAATCCTCATCCTCCAAATTCTTCCAGAAAAACAAAAATTTTTACAATTTGAGATGCTTCGTTCACTCCAATTCTAAAAACTGCATCCTTCAGACATACAGCAGTCCCTGTTCACAAGTGAGCTGACTCCAAAGAGCTGTCACCCAGGCTAACAGGCTGCATATTTCAGCTGCATCCTAGATGCAGGAAATCCTCTATGTGGCTGCCAGGTCTTATCCAGAAGTACAAAGCAAACCCCTTTAATAGCTGGCAGCTGGAAAAGCCCCTCATTACTTGTCTGAAACCTCCCAAATAGGTACCCAAGATACTGTCAAAAAAAAAAGCACATTGGGTTCCAGAAACTCCTGAGATTTCTCTTTCCATCAATGCACCAACTCAAAGTCAAGCAGGCTCAGAAGTCATAATTACAACCAGCACGTGTGTATAATCAATGAACATACAGATGTTATGATTATGAAATATGAGAGTTCGGCTAAGCAGGTTATTACACCAAAGAAAGAATAGATAGAGTGCTTACTCTTCTCCTGGGTTCACCGTAAAACTCCAAAGGAGGGATCTCCAAAAGAGATCCTTCCCCACTGGTAGTCAGCTCTTAAATGGAGTCTAAGAGAGGTGCAGCCAGGCTCCACCCCTTCCTGTAGCACAGGTGAATTGCCTTCACCTGTGCTCCCAGAGCTGACACATTGCTTGCCTCAGGTGATCAATCAGAGGTTCAGGCCGTGATTCAGCACTTCCCATACAACAGGTAATTACAGAAACATGAAAGCCGCTTACATTTAGCTATGCAATTTCAGAGCAGAAATGTCTCTCCTCGCTTTATGTATGGTCCTGCTGCCACCCAAACCCTTGAGCTGCCCGCCTCTCACTGGTGGCTCTGGGCAGCTCCTCGTGCCCAGCAGTTCTCCATAAATCCCTACAATCAGTGTGGGGCAGCTCCTCATGCCCAACTCTCCCTATAACCCTACAATCCCAGTATGGGGCAGCTCCTCATATTCAAGCAGCTCTCCATAATGTCCCACAACCCCAGCCTTCCCCTCAAAAGCACGTTGGCCATCTTGCTGTGGCACTACCAGACCCATCCAAGTATCCATGAGTTTTTCCACCATCACAGCATGACACCACCCATGGGGGATAGGCTCTTTGTAGCAAATGAAGACTAATCATGAGCACTGAGGTGCTCTGGGGTTTGAATGAAGAACGAGGCCACTTCTGGAGCCCTTCCCTGCACAGAACCAGACACACAAGAGCCTCATTGATGGAGCACAGAAGAGGCCTTCTTCACCAGTGACTCACAGGCAAATAAACACGGGACAGGCTGGCAAGCAGAGTGCACCAGAATTCCCATGAATTGAGAGAAGAAACTGTGCAAAAGAAGAGAGGACAGTGGAAGGGGTGGGAAAGGGAACAATCTAGGTGGTCTCAGCAGCTGCCCAGCCGCCTCATTACCCAACCTGGTAGCCATCAGCAGCACCAGGACTCCACAACAAAGAGCTGCAGAGGGCAGAGTGCCCCTCTCCATGCCACAGCGTCAGAAGGACACAAAACTGTTAGAGAGGGTCCAAAAGGAGAGCCCACAAGGATGGGAAAGGGTCTGGTGGGCAAGACGTATGAAAAGCAGTTGAGTACCCTTGCTTGGCTTGGCCCAAAGAAGAGGAGGCTGGGGGGGGTCTCATGGTGGCCCTACTGCCCACATTAATAGAATTCAGTCACACCTGAACAGACAAAAAGAGAAGAAATTCCTCCCACGCAGGGATGGTTCAACTGGAACAACACTAAAATAGTGTTTATTTGTGCTTGTATTCTAAACAACCAGAAGACATCCGTCAAGAAGGGAAGCATGTGCCTCAGGAATTGAAAATGTATTAATTACAGCACAACTGTATTCAGATTATTCATAAGGACTGGGAAGAAGTTGGAATCTAGGATGGAGAAAACTACAAAATAAAGTGATTTTTATCATAACACACAGACTGGAAAAAAGCCAACTATAAGCATGTAAATGTGATAATAATGCTGTAAAATATGCTACAAAGAAAAGAGACTTTTAAACATTGGGAGATCTTGAGAAGAAAGTAGATGGAATGATAATGGAGAGGCCGCTCCAAAAACATAACTCTACAACCTCACCAGTGAGCCTTGCACATTTCTACAAATGAGAAGGAAAGTACGATGAGCAGGTTTAAAGCATAGAGAAAAAGGAAAAATATGCATTAAAAAAAAAGAATTAAAAATAAACAGTGTAATATCAAAGACAATAAGGCAGGTGAAAATGAATGTGAGCCTGGCAGCAAGTTAAAACCAAATACTTGAAGGCTCATCATCCATTCATGACATCTGATCACGATGAACTGTGTGTAAACAACAGTTCCATTTACTGGAAATATTTCCATTTTCTCTTTCTCAAACATCCTATAATGAGGTGATTCTTCAGAGCTGGAGAAAGCTTCAAAACCCACACGTACACAACAGCATTTTTACTGCCTCTACCGTCACCACTGTATTATTCAGGAACAGATGAGCAATCACATCTTATAATCACCTTCCATTTTTAAATACAACTCTGCTGCCCTCAACAGAGGAGAAAAAAAGCCCAAGGCATTAATTGCTTGTCACGCTTCACTGATTTAAGTGGGCTCTTGGAAAAAAAATATTTCTCTCAGCAGCCAGCAAAAGGAGTTCTGCACACAGCACATTGCTCCTGAGTTGCACCCCAAGGTACTGGCCACATCCATGCAACCCTCCAGAAGGGAATTTGGCTGTGCAAGCCAAAAGGTGCTCAGATGATGCAGCCATCCCAGCATGATGCAAAACACAGAAAAGAACCTCTTTTTATTCCCCAGCTGAACAAAGATCACTTTATCCTTCTCTGAGGTGGGATGTGGCAATGTAGGATGGCACACTGCAACCCTACCTTGTGTTTTATAGGCTGTAAAAGACATTCTTTCTGCACAACAGAAATGTTATTCTCCAGATCACATCTTATTAAATCCTTGTTCTCTCTCTCTCAGTGCTTATATTCAAATCAATGTAAATGACTCAAAAAATGAGAGGAAATGCACAGATCTTTACAGCTGCTTGAAGGTTCTGTACAGAGCCCTCCGTCACAAAGTGCCAATTTTGCCATCAAAGTGACAACTCATTTACATCACAACAGTCAACAGAAACACACTGGGTTGGATATTAGGAAAAAATTCTTCTTGGAAAGAGTGGTTGGGCACAGGAACATGCTGCCCAGGGGTTGGTGGGGTCACCATCTCTGGAGGTGTTCCAGAACCGTGGAGATGTGGCACTGAGGGATGTGGTCAGTAGGCGTAGTGGGACAAGCTGGTCGTGGGGATCTCAGTGGTCTGTTCCAACCTTAATTCTATGATTCTAAATTCAGTGTTATACTGGTAGATTTCCATCAGCGTCCCACCACCAGCTCAGCTCCCTTCCCAGCCTCATCCCAAGTGCTGAAGATAGAAAAATCTGAACATACAGTCTGATTTTTGGGGAGATCTGTGTGTGGCCAGGCGTTGGAGTTGATGATCCCTATGGGTCTCTTCCAACTTGGTATATTCTATGATTCTATGATTCCACACAGAACGTTCCTTAAAGCAGCCCACCAGAATTTCAGGTCCCAGCAGATCTGAAAACGAGAGTTTCACTTCCAGCCCAACATGCACACTTAGCCTCAAACCAACACTACTTCTTTTCAGTAATAATGTCACACCTGCACTCCAACTTGGGCTCTGGAACAAGTCAGAAAACCAGGCATCATTAACAGCATTTAATTACACTGCTTTGATGAGCCTTGAGTTGTATTTCAAGGTGAAATACATGCCATGTGAAATGAAAAAACCACTCATGAACTTCATTCTAGGCCAGAACTATATTTAACAGTGAATTCTCATCTAGGAGACAGCAGGCAAGTGTACTACAGAAATTTGTATCTGATAGGCTCCAAAAATACAATGCTACTGTGTGGAATACTGGAATACACTAATATAACTTCAAGACTTGACACTAATATACTTTAAGATAAGAGGAGTAGTCATGTTTTACAATAGAATAAAACATTTCAAATAGTGAATTGACACAGGACTTTGCACACATGGACTGAACAGACCAAGTATCACACTAAGACCTGACATACTGTTGAACAGCAGAGTTTTGAAGAGATTTTTACAGATTTGCTTAAAATCCTTACCCCAGCAGAGGGGATATTCAGGTGCTTGCGAAACTCAGCTCTCTTTGAACCAATTTTTAATAATCAGGCACTAAAATTGAGCATTTCAATGGCGGCTATATAAAGATCCCCTTATGAACAGTTGACAGAGTAGAGTTTTTACCAAATGGACATTCATTATTTCTACTGACAGCCACGAAAATACCTTTTCTGAGAATGTTCTTTTCTTGTGACCTTTTCGCCTCCCATGCTCCCTTATTTCACAGTAAGCTCACAGGAAAATGAAATGAATCACCACTTCCACATAAGAGCACATTATCTCCCCCTGTGTCTCGAATACATGAAGTAACTCAGAAGAGCTTCTCCTAATCCTTTTCTCTCAAAAGCCAAAAGGCCTTCAGGCTAGGTTTACTGCCAGGTTAACAAATAACTTTACACCATAGTATACACTGCTAAAATCACTCCAATGGATGATGTTATCACACATCCAGCAGGCAATTCTGAAGAATCTTTTGTCGTGGTGAGGATTATCAGACCCCTGTTTTTCAAGGAATGGATGATGGAAGGTACTAAATATCACGCACATAATGTGCATGATAGATTGGGAAAAATCAGGAAAATGATCTCTTTCTTAAGCCCATTTTCGTCTCCAGTGATCACCGATATCACAGGATCTAAATTCTGAAACCCGTTTTTTGCTGTTCTAAAGCAGACGATGGGTTTACTTATTTACAGAACAATCCATCAGGCCTGGCTACCTTGAAAGACCTGTTTTCCAAACCATATCATGGATGCCACTGAGCCAGTTTGGTGCATTCAGACCAAAGCACACCCAAATAGCTGGTTAACTATTTAAACAACAAGTTTGTAAAACACATCAAGAACAAAATCTACCCTTTTGAGATATGACCAAAAGCAAAAAGAACAGCTTATCTATGCACCAGACCCCAGACTTGGGGAAGGCATCAAAGTGAACTCTGAGACTGCTTCATCTTCAAGGGTGCCACACAAGCACATCAGAACACAGGACTCTAGGAGGTCACTTACACAGAAATGAGAACATCATCTCAAGAGCCATCCCATCAGGACCCTGCAGAGGATAAAGCAGGGCTTGAGATATGGATTCTGTCACTCAAGAAAGCTCAAACCTTCACTGCAGTGAAATGTATGAGCCCAGACTACAGTCATCCAGGTCTTGTGCCACCAGCTGGGCTGTGAATGACAGCAGCCAAGGAGACCACAACTTGTGCAGCAGCACCTGTTGGCTTCAAGCAGCTCTTCTCCTGTTTCCTGCAATGTTTTGCTTCTTCATACACTTCCTTATTCCGTAAGTCTTCAGAGAAACATGCTCCCCTCATTTTTTACTGCAGGATACATCTCTGGCTTCCAGAACAACACAGCCACTAAACCTTAATGTTTCTCCATCCTATTTCATAAAACACTTCCAACATCCAAGAACAACCTTATGAAACAACCAATATGAAAAAGGAAAAAAAGGTTTACAACCTTGAATACAACTACATAACTACCCAGAGAGTGCCTAGAGCTTCTCACAGTTAAGATGAAGGCCAGAATGTTAACAGTGCCCATCCCAAAGGCTGGACCTTAAACAACAGGGCACCAGAACTACAACCCTATTCCTGCAGTCAGCTGTTGGTAGTAATAACGACCCCTTCTATTCTTTGTGTTCTTCCACTTTGTACTTCCAACAGAAATTCAAGCAGCATGCACATGACAGGGAGTTGGATCCCTCCAACCTAAGCCATTCTACAATTGTTAGGATTAAACAGAGGATGAAGGATGAATTTCTGAGTGTGCCTTCATAGAGCTCCACAGCTTGTTGGCTTTACCCTTCCGTGGCACTGATGCCACAGAACCACTGAAAGAAATGGTCACTACAAACTGAATATGCAGAATGAAATCATTGAATTATTAACACTAGAAGAGACTTGGAAGAGAGCAAGAAACTCCCCAGGTCCAACCCCACCCCAACGTGCCCACTGTGTCCTTACGTGCCACGTCTCCATGGTTCTGGGACACCTCCACGGATGGTGACCTCACCAGCAACTGTGCCACTGCATCACTATTCTTTGGGAGCAGAAATCGTTCCCAATATCCAACCTGAACCTCTGTTGGTGCGACCGAGGTCATCACCTCGGAGCAGAGCCGATTCCTACCTCACTGACAGCATCAATTCTGATCTTGCAAGTAAAAGGAGAAGGGGAAAAAAAAAAAAAAAAGGAAAAGTGGGAACAAGCAAAAATAACGAACAGAGCATGGAACAACACGAAGGCAACGTGGTAAGGAGAGAAAGAAGGATGGACTGCAGTTCTGAGGCCGAGAGATGAGGTGGGACAACCACAGCATCCAACGGGACACGAGGGGGGGCGCGGTTCCGGGACACGCACAGCCCCGCGGGTTGACCTGTCCGCCCGCAGCGCACGGGGCCGGGCAGCGCCGCGTCCACGTTGTGACACCGCATCCCTCCGCGCTGCCCCGCAGCCGCCGGGGCTCCCCCCGCACTGAGGCCTTTCACGCACCGCATTTTCGGCCGAGCCGCCCCAGAGAGGCGCTGACACTCCCTCCAGAAGGGCACGGGGCCCCTCGTCAGCCCCACCTCGGGAGCCGCAGCCTCACCCCCGTTGGGCAGGGGCAGATCCCAGCCCCTCAGGCCCCAGCCCTCACCGCACATGCTGCGCGCTGCTCCGCTCCGCGTTGCCGCTCTCCGCTCAGTCGGGGCCGCCCCGCCCGCACCCCGCCGCCGCGGGCGCACAGAGCGCATGCGCACAACCCGCGTTGTCACTGGACCGCGCCGCTCGCTCCGCCCCGCCCCGCCCCGGGACGTGGCACAGTGAGCGGGCAGGGAGTGCCGGTATGGCCGTAAGGTGGGGGTACGGCATGGAGAGCCCCTCCCGAGCTGCTGGAGAGGATCCGGGGAGCCGGCAGCGGAACGGGAACTGCATGACTCAGCACAGCCACGTGGCGCGGCTGCTGCTGCTTCCCGGTTCTATCACAGCGCCCAGTGAGATGGGAATAAAGGGACCGTGAGATGAAAGTCGGGGTGTGACCGAGCAGACAGGCACATCCGTACCGCAGGGCATCGGGTTCTGCCACAACCAAATGTTTGGAAATAAAAACTAAATAGTGAAAGCCTGAGGCTATGGAGAGAGCGAAGTCCCTCTGTAAGAAAAAGGTTCGATTATCTTTATAGTGACACTGCAATAGAGCACATAAAAGAACCTAAAATCCATATATAAACCCAACAGGGCGGTGATGGATGTTTGCCTTCCTTCTATTGTGACCTGCCTGGACCCAAACAGAGCAAGGAGGGCACTGTGTGAGGCTTCAAAGTGAGCAGCACAGCCCTCTGTGCTTTGGAAACATCACTGCTTTAACCCCAGCAGTGACGCAGTCCATAGGATGTGGTTGTAATTAGGAATTGAGCTGTTAATTGGGAACTGAGCTGCTCGCAGCTTTCCTTTTCCTTTGTGTAGGAGGTGGAGGGCTGACTTCAAATTCTGGTTTCTCCCCCATTGTGCTCACAAAGGAGCACACGTGTCAGTGGGAGCTGGAAGCCTTGCAATGGTGGAAGTCCATTTCCCAAAGGGGAAGGGAGCAACTAACCCAGTGTAACTACAGATCAGAAACTGGCCAACACAGCACACAGCTCATGTCAGTAGCACAGCAAATCCTGAACTTTACAACTTAAACCTATGCCATATCTCAGACTGAGGCTACATGCTAACAATTCTGCTGCAAATCACTTCCATCTTTATGTGCGTTCATCTCTATGTGTTTATTCCTGATGTGTCTATTTTTTTTCCCCTATAAAAACCAAAATGTATCCCACGTAATATGTTACTGTACCCTGCAGCTCACTCTGCATGTGGCTTCACACCAGAAATAGACATGCAACTCACTACCAACAGGAGAAATGCAGAGAGAGTTTCCCAAACCGTCTCACACACACAAACCCTTTAAAATAAACAGTGGGTATGTGTGGGTTGGAAAGCAAAACCCATCCCCTCCCCAGGCCTCAGCATACCTCAATTGAAATAGAAGTTCTGACTGTGCTCCTGGATTCTACACAGAAGTATCTTCTACAGAAGTATCACCTCCTGGAAAAAAAAAGAAAGTGTGTTTTGTTTCATCTCACATATATTGAGTGTTACCATCAGGTAGTTTTCTCCTGCTCCATAAATCCACAAAATGCTGTGTTGTCAGGAGGCTGCTTTCTCCTGGATGCCTGCAGTGAGTCACCTCTTGACTGAAAGCGCGTCTCCACCTGCAGACAGCTCCAGGATGGGGAGTTTGGACAGCTGGTGTTGGCCTCCCCTACAGCAGAGCATGGGACAGCTTAGGAAACACAAATGGATTTGAAGTGCTTTCATAGAGTCATCACAGAATGAATCATAGAATGGCCTGGGTTGCAAAGGACCACAATGCTCATCCAGTTCCAACCCCCTGCTATGTGCAGGGTCGCCAACCAGCAGACCAGGCTGCCCAGAGCCACATCCAGCCTGGCCTTGAATGTCTCCAGGGATGGGGCATCCACAACCTCCTGTTCAGTGCCTCACCACCCTCTGTGTGAAAAACTTCCTCCTAATATCCAACCTAAGCCTCCCCTGTCTCAGTTAAAAACCATTCCCCCTTGCCGTATCACTATCCACCCTCGTAAACAGCCATTCCCCCTCCTGTTTATACGCTCCCTTCAAATTTTGGAAGGCCACAGTGAGGTCTCCCCAGAGCCTTCTCTTCTCCAAGTTTTCCTCACCTGGAAGCACTGACAATGGTTGAATGGCACACTGTAATCTTGCCAGCAAAAACACCAACATACTTTTTCATTTCTTAAAAAAACAACAAAAAAAATACACCAGAATGTGCACTCACTGCTATTTTCAGTGTAATGACTGGCTGCAGTTCTTGGTTCAAAACCACCTCTTCCAAAAAAGCATGGAGGACATCACGCAGCACTCTGCTCCCAGGTCAAGCAATGAACAGACTGCCATAATCCCTTCTACAAAGGAGGGCTGAGCTGAGCTCTGCAGAGACCTCACTGTGGCCTTCCATTACTGCTTCAATGAAAAACAAAGAACAAATCTGAAGAGCTACATTTTATTTAACATATGAAACAATTATCTACATGAGTTTTGGTGTATGCAGTGCATTGAATTGACAGATTAGGCCTAAAATGGTTTTGAGAAATGAGAAACATTACCCATCACTGCATGCTTTGTAACAGGGGGAAAGAAAACAGTGATTTCAAACCAACTTCCAAATCCTGAGTGGGTAATTTAAATGACAGTGGGTTATTACTCCATGTGAAAGCTACAGGAACATTTTGCTCAAATATTTGTTTTCTAATTTCTAAAGAGTGAGATGAAGTTGACGGCTACCACATGATGATGTGCGTGCTATACACAGACTTAATTGATCCCACTTAGGGACTCAGTGGAATTACACTGGCAAAGAGGGGAGGAAGAAGCATACAGAGGCTGTCAGCCCCTTACACAGGGACTACTACAACCATAAGCCAAATAATGACCACAAACTATGGCAGCATGAAGAAGAAATACTGTCTCCATTAACCAAGCCATCTGCTAAAGCCAGACATCAGGAAGGAATTAAGTTCTACGTGCACAAGAAAGAAACACAAGTACTTGCAAAGCCTGCTTTACATATTGCAGCTTCAGAACAATAAATATTTCTCTTCCCATAGCCTCTACAATGGGCACACGTTCTGCTCTGCCACGTCCTCCCCTCGCTCTGCCAAGTTACAGGAGGAACAAACAGGATATGCCATAGGTAAACACATTCATTTGCTTTTTCCTATCCTACAAATGTAATTTGTGCCCCTAAGCACTGCGTGTTCATCTTGGACTGTTGTGTTGAGAAATCATCTTGGGCAGGTTTAAACAGACCACTAATGGTGGCTGAGCAATTTTATTCTAAATAAGCTAATTAGTCTGTCTACTTACTAAAGCTGATAAGGATCATCTTCTAATACTTATTTAAAAATACATGGTTTCTGAAGGAGACAACTCACTTCTTTTTTTTGTTTCTGTTGCTGTTATTTCTGTGGTGGCACTGAGCACATAGGTAACTGATGGCATCGTTACATCTTCTAAAACAAAGAGCTGAAATTATGGGTTACTTTTCAGAGAAATCTGGCAAAAATCCAAAGCTTTTTAAACCAAACTTGATCAAATTAACATTCCTGAATCCCCCATTTTGAGAGCCATGGCACAGTCCTTCAACCTCCGTAAGAAGACTTGATAAAAATTATTAAAAAATAAATTTTCTATTGCATAAGAAGTCAAGAAACACTACTTCTATTTCTATCCCGCCCCTCCCCCTCTTTTTCTTTTCCTTAATTTTTTTTGCATGAAAGAACATTGCAGAGACACATCACTGTTTTTAGAAGCCCACCAATTCCCTGCACAGTATAAAGGAGATGCAAACAACAAAAGGATTATTTTTTTGAATAGAGCATTTAATAAATTAATGAACACACTGCTGACACGGAGGAGACACTTTCACAGGTGGAAGTACAACTCCTTCTGATGAGAAAAGCAGATTTGGTTGTTCCACAGAACAAGAATGATTTATGTGCAGGAAATAAATACTGATTTGGCCATGGATGATGTAAGCTCACGTAGAATTTGCTTCTTTCTCCACATCATCATCATCATCAACAACCTGAAACAAATCCAGAAGTAGTTCAGGCAAACAGGTGAAGCTCTCAGTCCCATCACACTGTCTGGAGAATTTACTGCATTACATCCTTGCCAGACCCAAGGAGAACAACTATTCTGTGCCACTGATGACGACGGTTATCACATGGAAAACATAAGAAAAGCTTTCAATCAGAAATGCCATGAGATAATGTGGCTGAAATAATAGAAGCTGGTCATTTGACTGCTAATGCCACAAGAACAATCACTATCGTGTAGCTACTCTAAGAAGCCTGCTCTAGCAGGGGGTGAAATACAAGAGCTCCAAAAGTCCCCTCCAACCCATATGGTTTTGTGATTCTGTACCAAATTTTAATCAGAAAGCAAAATAATCTGCATCTAAGGGACAAGTTTTGTTCCATATTACCACTAAAAGCATCTGTTTATCTTACACTTTGGCTTCAAGTGCCAATCTGTGTATGCAGGGAAGGGAGAAAGACCATTTATTCTCCCCATTTAAATGAAGATCTCTACTATCTCGCACCAACCCACCTGTTCCACACCTTCCACTTCAGGGATGTAGAACTGGAGCATGTTCTGTATCCCGTTCTTCAGGGTGATGATGGAACTGGGACAGCTGGTACATGAACCCTGCAACTTCAGCTGCACAATGCCATCCTCAAAGCCTTTATAAATAACGTCACCACCGTCTTCTTGCACTGTTGGCCTGATAGAACACGTTACTCAATTTACAGGAAGCACAGCTGAAACCCATTCAATTCTAGAAAGCTTTAGAAGAGTTCAATTTAATGTACACAAAGAACTGGCCTGCTATATTAATTGAAGCTACCTTCTATTTCTGGTTCAAATTTCCAACAGTTCATATTTTGTTGGACTCTCACATTCACCACTACTGCCTTTTTAGAGCAAAATATGCTTGCAGTGAATGCAGTAACATAGAAAGAATCATTGGCATTCTAAGGGCAAAGGTAAACACCTCAGAGCAGAGCTCAATCAAGCCAGCAAAGAAACACTGGTTTGCCCCAAGGCACATAAAGATGCTCATCCCAACTTATGCACCAAAACCCAGGTGTCTTCCATTATATAATAGATGAATGTCTAC